ACACCATGCAGACACATACACCACACCCACACATACAGATACACACAGACATACACACACACACACACACACACACACACACCCCTTAAGAAAAAGATGAACTTTAGAATCATAACTCCTGGGTAGGCTGGCTGTTTCTATCTTCTTCATGAGTCCCTGAGTATATGTTCCAGCACCCTAGTGCTCTCATTCGAGTTGCTGGGTTAGACCACCTGGGGTGGGGTTACCAGTTGGCCATGAGTGGAGAGAAAAGAGAATGGCTGCTGTCAAGTTCACTGAGGGTCGAGGCTGACCTCTATAGACCACGATGTCACAAACTGCCTCTCATGGGCTCCTCAGACTGCCAGCAGATATGGAGCCATTGCTTCCATCTTTGCTGAGAAGGAGCACCTAGTACTTGCTGGTGTCAGGAATGGAGCCCGAGTGGGCCTGTTTCCAAATGTGTGATTTCCCAAGTGCCCCGCTGAAGGCAAATCTTGAGACAATTGAGGTCTGATTAAGGAGCGGGGAGCTTGCCAAGCCGAAAGGAAGGCATTGTAATAAACTTGTATTTAATACAAGTGATTGATTAGACTGCCTGACTGTTACTTTGGGAATTTAAATGTTTATGTTACACTCAGATAACTTAACCCTGGGCAGGAAACAAACAAACAAAAACCAGCACGCTGGCTTCCGGATGACAGCATGCGTCTCTGACACCTTTTGCTTGCATCTTGGAGCTGGTGAGCAGCTGGAGAGGAAGTGGCTCCCAATGGGCTGTTTTCACTCATCTTTGGCTGACAGAACTCTTCCTCAGCACTGTTAACTAACTGCTCATATAATCAATCAATCAATAAACCTGAAACTTGGAACCAGTAAGTCACCTGTGATTTCTACCACTGGGTCACTCCGTCTGGAGAGACAGCAGAATCAGTGTGAACAGCCTTGGAGCTGACGGCAGTGGACCGGCTTCCTTGCCTCCCTTCTTGGTGTAAGGAGAAGCTGCTTTGGTGGGTTCCCTTTGTGTTAAGTAAGGGACGCTCTGGGCCCTTCTAATTTCCCAAGCACCCCAGGGCTGGTGGGCCACTCTCAATTCAGGCTAGACAGGGAACAGAAATATTTCCTTAGGACTGGTGTATGACTGACTGAGTGCTGGAACCTCTTGTCCAGACCTCTCTCTCACATTTCAGTCGGTATACCCAACCTGTGGGATGGACATCTCTGGATGTCTCGTAGGTCCTTCCCCTCTGAGATGCCTAAATGGAAGTCACTGTCACTTCCCCTCTTGGCCCAGGGGAAGCACCAGTGTCCCAGTCTGATCTTTATCCTGTTCTCTCATTAAGCCATTCTGAATCCTAAGTCACTCTTAAATCTGTTTTCAGCTCCGCGCTCCTCTCCTGCACAGGCAGAGGCCCTCACCGTTGTGTTCCTGGACCACTGCAGCAGCGTCTGGACGTGGTCTGTCACAGATCTTTATCCCTCTGTGAGTTCTCCACGTGACTCACACAGCAGCTAAGCCTACCAAGTGATCAGACGGTGAGTTCAGGAGCAGGCTTGCCAAGGTGTCGAGGATGGCTCAACCAGAAATAGTACGGGTCCTGGCTATGCAGCCATTAGAAATAGCCATATCTCACACGTTTGTCATGAAAATTAAAACTTTTTATATTACATGTTTAGAATAGAGTCTAATGATGGCAAGCATTCAACAAAAGTTAGGTCTTGAATTACCAGTTTTTCTTTTCTTAAAAAAATGTCTTTTAGGAGACTGGAGAGGTGGCTCAGCAATAGAAGGTAATAGATACCTTATAAAGAACTAAAGCAGGCAGAGGCAGGTGGAATTCTGAGTTCAAGGTCAGCCTGGTCTACAGAGTGAGTTCCAGGACAGCCAGGGCTACACAGAGAAACTCTGTCTCAGAAAACCAAAAAAAAGAATGATAAAGAATTAAGCTTGATTCCCAGTACTGATGTTGGAGGCTTATAACTATTTCAGCCCCAGAGGATTCAACACCTTCTTCTGACCTCTGTGGGTACTGTATATACACATATATAAATAATTAAAAATAAAATAAATCCATAAAATATTTTCATTTAGGAGTTTATTTAGCTTATTTGCTTTCTCCTTTTTTCTTATCATTATTAAAAATGTATTATTTATTTATTTAGTCGTGTATATATGTGTCTCAGCTGGAGGACAACTGTGTGAGTCAGTTCTTTCTACTATGTAGGTCCTGGGGTTTGAACTCAGGCCGCCAGGTTTTGCAGCAAGCCGCTTTACTTGCTGAGCCATCTCATCGGCCTTTACCCATGTTTGCTTGGTAGGAAAAAAAAAAAGTGAGTCTGCTGTTACGTTCTGGATCAAGGCTGGATATTACGAAAGTAAATGTTTTTCTTTCTACTGGCATTTGCCGACTGAGAGACGCACTCACCATAACAGGTCTTGGTTATATAAACTGTACTTTAAAAGCAAAACTAGACAAATCTCGGGAAATCTCCATTCGGTTGCTTTAAACACTGGATGCAGAATGAGGAAGGGAAAGGGAGGGGCTGAGAGTTCAGTGTGCTCTTCTGGCTGCTGTCTTCCCAGAGAACATGGTTCTCAGAAGAGAAGAGGCATCATCCACTCTCCTTCAGCAACCGCCTTGCAGTTCATTTCCCTCTGGGGCCCCTGCTTAGCTCTTTGCTGAGCGCTGTGCCTGCCTGCCCAGCCTGCAGCTGGCCCTGGGACTCCTATCCCTATGCTGCTCATCAGAAAGGAGCACTCAAGGAGGAGCCCCAAGGAGGAGCACTCAAGGAGGGAGACCAGCAGATCTAGCTCATTCTCCCATTCAAGTGCCATGAGACGCCGTGAGCGCCATTTCCCCAAGGCTCAGGGCAGCACAGGCCATGAAGGACCACCTTCTATCTCTTCCTCCACTGTAAGGATGAGGTCGTGCCCAAGGCTGAGCCCAGCATCTGCTCTTTTCTCCACCGAATGGTCAGGCCTCCTAAGGTAATAAAAGGGAGACTGTTGGCAGAGGCAGCAAGCGATTCTATGACTCAAATGTCTCCATTTCCCTAAGGAGACGTGAGTAGAACAGAACGGCTGGGTGAGGGGAAGGCTGAAGGTGAGTACGGTCTTACACACGGTCCTTGTGTGTCTCCTGGAGGGGGTGTGACAGAGGTAACACAGATACGAGTTGTTCCTCTGGATATGCCTTAGTGCTTCCTTCTAGATATCACCACAGCCTGCTTCCTGCCTGTGGATGTGGTCTTCTTTCCCCACAGGGCCAGAGACTTCTGGAAGCATTCACAAATAAG